GTGAAATTACGTGGCCAGTAAGTGTGTCAATGTTTAGGTCCATAAACAAAATTGTACCCTTAACTCTGGGTTGTAATTGTCACACATGTTTGCGAGATATTTGTGCGTGGAACGGGCATATTGGTCATTTGTCCACCGTAAAGGTCCACCAATAGAGTTCTCCATTTCGGTGTAAAGAGTAGCAAGATTGTTCATTGATACTTTCAGCTGATACAAAAACATCTCCATTTTACGCCTTTGCTCGATTGATTTTGCCTTTGCACGATCACAGGATACACAGCCCTGTACTGGCGTAGTTTTTTGGTTCTTTGACAGGACAGTTGTTGCAGTTTCTTTCTTTTTTGTCGTCCGTTTCCCGTTGGACATGACAAACGCTTTGCCCTTTTGTGTCACCTTTACGGGGTGGCGTTGTTCTATTCGGTTGGCTGCTCGGATTAATCGTTTTCCTCTTCGATTTTGAGCCGGAGGGGATGAATCCTTCATTTTTTTGCTAAATATTTCCAATGTCTCTTCTTCTGGACGAGTAGATCCCGCCCTCTTTAAGGAAACATGTTTGAGTTGTGTTCCGTCTGCCGTCATTTGGAGGATCAGTGGGTTATAGCGTGGCTGCTTTTGGGTCTCTATTAAATCGTTGATAATTTATGAATTGCACACAAATCTCAATAAATAAATGTTTTAACAGAATGGGTATTTCCTAATTTTTTGAAGGTAAACTGCTGAATTTTATGAGGCTGTTACCATCTGCCTAATATACCTTAAACGAATCTCAACGTTTGAGTGTTCCCGTATTTTCCTCCTTCTATATTCCTATTACTCTGTTGCTTTCTCCTGAACTGTTAGTTACCTAGCCTAGCTTACATATCGATCTGTTTCACATGATGCAAGTGACATTTTCGGACATGGAAAAATTTGGTGCGTAAGCCAATCGTGCTGAGAATAGATTGTGTCTGAAATCAATAAACGTGGGATCATTTATTCATGTTAATCGTATCGTTTTTTGAATAACATGAATGATAGTAATGTTGCTTTACACTTTATTTTGCGTGGTAAGTGCCTGGCATGGCAAAGAAACTTGCTGTTCGTGTGCTGTGACGAAGTAGGTAGATGGCGGAAGGAAGAACCAAACTTTCTAAAAAAAGCTTTCTAATGTCCCATGATGGCTGAGGCGCAACCAAATGAATTGTTGTACCCGGTGTTAGGGCCTGAAGACCGAGCTGTATGTGATACTGATATGACTGGCAATTTGGACGAGAATGAGACCGTTTGTCGTTTTGGTTTGGCCCAACAAAATTACTATAGATTAGCTTCTAAAAAAGAGGGGTCCTTCTCCTTGGAGGAACGCGATCTATCAACCAAGGACATGGAGGAAGTTCTCTTGAACATAAATCAAGCGAAACAACGTTTTATGTCAGATCCAAGAGTGAATTTAAATGAGGGAGAATGGGAAAGGCTTATGAAGGAACTAAGAAAATGTTTCATTAATGGAGAAGCTGATGATCTGATGATGTATCCTTTTTTGCTTGATATAGAGACACTTTTTGGTAATTGATCTCTCTTATTCTCTCTCTCTCTCTCTCTCTCTCTCTCTCACACACACACACACGTGGTACACAACCACATCTTGCATTTATTTAAGATATTTCTTTAACGAAGTTTACGCAGGTATTATATTAAGGACAATGAAGACAGGTTCTTTATGTTGAGTCATGGCGTTTCCTATGTCCATTGTCAATTAGCCAACAGTGAGTCGTCGGGGTTCTTTTTACGACGAACAGTGAAAGAGAAACCAATCCCGGGGAATGTAGAAATACGGTTTTATTCTTTTTCTGCATTTGAAGACACGTGTCATCTACACCCCGAAGTATGTGGACATGTGCTTCCCTGCTTGGTGGCGTTATCACGCAATGAATCCTGGTATACCGACTCTCAAGGGAACATGCACGAACTCCCGATGCAGGGGCGGAACATGCACAGTCTCAATAACGACCGACGTTTCCCTCCTATCGCTTGCAATTCTAAAGTTCATGATGACGTGTGTCACGTTCCTTTACTCGGGCATTCTTCTGACCTTAGGTTAATATACCGAAAGGAGCGACATCAGAAAAATCATGAAACGAAATTTGTATGTAGAATCTATAGGATATGTATGCATCAGGAGATTATAAAAAAGGGCCATGCGAAGGCATCTAAATCACGAAAACAAACTGATGTACGCGACTCCATCGAACAAGAATGTAGAGAAATAAGTAGCGTTTTTTTTGGTGTTTAAAAGATGAACTAATTCATTTAAAACGCTTTATAGAATTAGTAAAAGAAAACAGAAGTTTTCTACAATCTTAATGTTGTTTGTAAATTACAATGAAAAGAAAATTCAATAGCATGGGTAGATATTTTTGTAAATTATGCAAAATGCCTGTGGGCCATACTCTTATAGTATATAAATGGATAATGTGATTTTTGAAATACAAGGAAATGAATACTTTATGATATTTGTCAACTGATGTATTGCTATTTAAACGTTCTGTTGGTGAGGCATACAACCTGTGAAACCTTTACATCGCTCGTTGCAGCGTTTAAACCTCATTTATTCAAGTCTGGGTAAATAAACTGTATTTTTTTTAAGTCAATCTTCAAGCATAAATTTCAGTACACCAGGTTTTGCTACATCCTATAAATTAAAATTCTTTTAAATAAAAATACTGTATGTCAAATGTTTTCAATCGAACACATTATATATTATAATAAGTTGTGTACTGTTTCAAGGCAAGAGGCACGTTGTTATCGTTCGTGAATAGGTGATTCTTTTCTATTAATTTCTTTAAAATTATCAATTCGAAACATCTGTTTTCAGACGCCAGCCCACACGATTTTGTCATGGAGGCGAAAAATGGCGATTTCCCTGACGTACATGTACGCTTGTTGCAGTTTTCAGTTCCGCTGGCGTTCACTTGTTGCCAACCGCTTCAATCAATTACATCTCTTCTTAAGACGTGTAATGCTTCCAATTATATTCGTTATTGTAAACTGATAGCATGGTTTTGCAGAGATGTCAAAATAGCAAACACAAGGACTCATTTATTTTTTATTGATCTCCGCCAGAGTGTTTATTTGACAATAGCGATTTTGATAGTTGCCAATAGCTGCATCAATAATTACACAATAGTTCAAGGAATAATTTCTATTAATATTAATAATTTATGTATTTCGTGTTGATGAACATGGAAAAGGTACTAAAATTAATGGAGGTATTGGAATTATTTTTTTGTATATGGTCCACTGCACTAGTGCCGTCGTTTAGAGCAGCGATTTCTTTACTTGAAAAATAGCTGAACTTACAAAATTTTTGAGCTAGAGGCTTCTTCTTTTTTCACTTTATAAAGAAAAAGTATTGATATAATATGTGCATACAACTGACATGTTGAATTTGCCAAGCTAAGAGCCGATGACGCTTGCAAAGCAAAATTCGCCCGGAGGACGTACTACGCAGCAAAGGTCGCGTTTAAACAGGCTACATCACCAGAGATTTGCTTGTGGTACAGGAAAATGACATTAGTTATACGCATGCCTTTTAGATGAAAGTGGCTAGGATTGAATGAAAATCGGACGGATGATGCCCCGGTAGCTTCCAATTATTGTTTTATAATTTATTTGTAAATAAAATAATCCAGTGCTGTCAAGGGCTTAATGGCTTCATTTTAGGTTATCATAATTACTAAATTTAAATTAACTCCAGCGTATTGCAATATGANTTTTTTTTTTTTTTTTTTTTTTTTTTTTTTTTTTTTTTTTTTTTTTTTTTTTTTTTTTTTTTTTTTTTTTTTTTTTTTTCCTTTTTTTTTTTTTTGCAAATATTCTTCAATCGGTATTTTACAAACATCTTTTTTCACTATTTCCCTGATGTAGATGTCAAGAACTTTATATAGTTATCCACTCTTTTTCATTTTTAAATTGTCAATTTATATTACTGTCTTTAAATTTGGGATTTTAAAGAGATGCTTGTCTAAACATGCCAGTGGATGCAAAATAAACATATTAAAGATATTGTTCATTTTTTATTGTTCTTCATTGACTGGTCATTTCATGAGATCCGTTTGAACAACAAAAGCTTTATAACTGCAACTAATTTTTCTTTATAAATGTTTTACTATTAAACTTTATTTATAAAGAAGTAAAATAAAATCATGCTCTAGTTCCTGTGGTCTCCATATTTTAACCCCACCTCAAGGCAGATCTCGTAAAATCACGGGGAAATGTGGTCTTCTCGTTGAGAACCCGGACAACCTCTATTATTGTGCTATTTTAAAGTTGGGCATACATGTATCTATTTGAAATACTCTACACAATAATCTTAATAATGTTTGTGACCTTATCATCAAAATTGCATCAAAATGTGAATGTGAAATATTTGCTAACAAAGTACCCCCTGGTTAAAAAAAAAGCTTATGATAAAGAAAACAAAGTAAAATCATCGCTGAATTGTGAACTATACATCGCCTAAATGCCTAATAGCAAACGAGAAAAGAACAGTATTTGAAAATCTTGGGAGTGTCATATGCACGGTAGAAGAATCATAAATTTCCACGAAAAAAGGAAAGACTTGGAAGTCTTTTGCTGACGTTGGTTGAAGCAGCCATTGTCATTTGAACAGACGATGTCCCTCTCTATCGGTGCGATTACGAAATTTAAAAGTGAACAACAAACGCATTCACTCCGCAGACGACAATATTCTTTACATTACAACGAATTCCATACATGAAACGGACTGTGAAGTTTAGGATAGGTAAAGCGTTTACCATATGTTCCACACGCATTATGTCAGCGTGTAATACAAGCACCAACTAACGATATTTTAATTATCCAATTTCACTGACATCCTATTTCGTGATGAAAGTAAATTGGATTTAAATCAAAATAATTTCCTGTCACTCTAGTTACCGACCTTGGACCAGTATAAATAGATGTACGTAGGTCATTTGCCTCAGCTTTGAGTTGTAGTAGATTTCGAGCACAATGGTTTCATCTGGTCGGTCAATGCTTTGTGTCTTTGTCGCAGCAGTTGCCTTATCTGGCATTCCCACTGATGTGACGGCGAAAGTGCCAGGTATGTAAGACGCCATTTAGTGTATGTGAAACGAGTTTGCGGTGGGAAAGACTCGGTTCTTATATCGCTATTCAATGTTATCTCTGATATAATCCTGGTAACATTTAGTCTTGTTCCAGACTTGTAAAAATGGGATGTCCACGTTTTGACGCTTTCTTTGGCATTATTATTTTTTTTAATTATTATTTGTACTTTTTAGTTTCACATGTTCGATGCTGTGATTTTCGAAAAGACTTGTTTGGCATTGTAACTTTTATGGCAATTCCCGTAGTTTCTATGTGCCTTTTCACTAGTTTTCATTTCTTCTTCCGCCTGTCCATTTAAAGAACTTGGCTTCGACAGCCAATATGAACCGAAAATCATACTTTCATACTGCTGGGCAGAGAACGTTTTCATTGCACATGACGAGCACTGTAACATTATCATTCCTACACCTCCGCTTAATATCAAAGCATTGGTCATTGACTATCCACCCTTTCCATGTGATATTTATTTTCAGAGTGCAAAACACCGGAACAGTTCGCCCACGGCTTCAACTGCACGTCCAACGGCAAATGCATCTTGTGGCAGGGCAGGTGCAACGGAAATTACGACTGTGACGGGGTCGACTTCTCGGACGAAGAAAACTGTCGCCCAGAGGAGTGTAGGGTGATGATGATCGGGACCCCGGGCCCTGCCGTTGGGACGTACTGTAAGAAGGACAAGACGTGCAATTTGTTCATTGAGCCGTGCTACGGGAAGTGTCCCCCTGGCGGGCACAAGTGTAATTGGGCGGGCGGCCACGAAACGTGTTATGAAGAGCGGTATAAGTAAGTACAGGCGTAGACAGAGCTTGTCTTGTAATGGAGTGAAGGTGGCGGCCCATATATAATTTCGACGAGATGTATGAGTAGCCCGCGGATGTCCGCGCATTGTTTTGAACAAACGAAAATGACTTTGCTCATTTAAGAAGTAAATGCATTAATCCTTGTTTCCCAAAATAGATTGAAAACCACATAATGGTCAAGAATTGTAACAAAAATTCTTTCCCCGTTTGCTTTTTTTATCATCATCGCCATCTTCTTCTATTACGTAGTTGTAGTAGTAGAACAAAGTAGTAGTAAATGTTAGTGGTCCTGCTTTGTCTCGGGGAACACTACCTCCGTTTGACACAACTGTACGTGCATTTTCAATTTCAGATGCGACGGTGTGGAACTGTGTGACGAAGGAGAGGATGAAAAAGGTTGCAAGCCAGAAGACTGCAAATCCAGCACCCGTTTTTGCCAATCCGATTCGAAATGCATCGGCAAATATATGCAGTGCTCCGATGGAACTTGCCCAGTTGGGCATATTCCATGCGTCACCACCGTGGGAACAAAGGAGTGCCCCGATTTCAACCTACGCTGCGATGGTCGCCGCATTTGTTCAAACGGAGAAGACGAGGCGAACTGCACAGCAGAGGAGTGCAAAAGGGGAACCTGGTTTTGTGCCTCTGCCAAAACCTGCATTTATCCCAATGAGAAATGTGTTGGGGCTTGTCAAACAGGCTACACGTCCTGCGGCGACGACTCTGACGTCTGCATTATGAACGCGGCCAGATGTGACGGCAACCAGGATTGCCCTGGCGAGGGCGTAGACGAGAAAGACTGCCTTCCGGAAGACTGCCAGAGCCACGCCCCATACTGTGCTGACACCAAGTCTTGCCTGCCATGGACCGAGGCGTGCAACGGCGTTTGCCAGGCTTCAGGGGCGATGTGTCCCAATGGGCCCTGCGCATTGAATTACCTTCACCGTAAAGATGTGCGCTGTACGGAAAGAGCGGTCTGCGATGACGGAAGTGTCGACCCAAATTGCTCGCCGAAGTCATGCAAGCGTCTGAAAATTAACAATGCTGAGATATACATAATGCGAAAGCATTTTAACCATCGCCTGGAGTATAGTGACGTTAAAGACCTGGGGCTTTTAACCTTGTACCGCTGGTGTGATAATCCGGGGGTCTGCGTCCCTATCTACAAGAAATGCCCAGACGGTTCTTGTCGCCTGGAAGACAAACCCTGCGGCGGCGGAGACAACTCCTGCTACGTCAGCAAGCTGAGATGTGACGGCCACCGCGACTGTGCTGACGGCGCTGACGAGAGGAACTGCGCACCAGAGGAGTGCAGCAAGGGGCTACACCACTGTGCTGACGAGATGGTGTGCAAGGCAAAGAACGCGCAGTGTGCGGATGGAACCTGTCCCCAGGGATCCACGGCCTGTAGTCCGGGTATTTGCTATAGCTCCCTTCAAAAATGTAATGGTTATGCCAACTGCCCAGATAATTCTGACGAGATGGGCTGTTAACTCGTTACTGACCTTTTAGACGTTGTCAAAATAGGCCTACTTTTTAATTCACCAATTGCCATTTGGAAGTTAAAAACGCAGAGTTATTTCTGCCACGTCTGAATAATCTATTTTATGAAAATAAACAAGTAACGGTTCCAGTCTTTGTGTACATGTTTTGTATTTCCTTTTTTCATCCACCAAGTAATCCGTTTATTATCGTTCTACAGCATTTATAAATTTGATGACAACATGCTATCAAACTTCCAGAAGATGAAGCGGTTATAATATGAACAGAAGCAAAAACGAAAAAAAGCAGAACTTTCACTTGAAATATCTACATAGCTATTCTTGTAATATTTGATATACATATATATCATTTACTGATTTAAGGTTTTAAAATGCTTTGATACAAAAAGTGTAACATGAATAAGTCGAAGTAAAAATACTTTTTTGTTAATTTTGATAGTCCCATTGGTATCAAAGTTATTTGATCCGAAAGGGTCAAATAACATCAAAATTACTCCCTTTGCTAAATCCATGACAACTTGATGCTGTGATAGTTCTTGTGACTCATTAAACCAATTATCATTATTGCATTTAATAAAGATAAAAACCACCATTAAAACCAAATCTGCCAGACAGGGTCTAGTTGATTTAATGGGCTATTTCCAAATTTTATTTCATTGCCAATTTAGGTACTATACCTTAATTATGAGAGTTCACTGCCATCAGCTCACATATACAAAATTAAAAGTATTTAAATATACTTTGGCACTTGACGGGATCTAAATCTTAATTGACATTTTCAATAAAATGCACTCAAATCTAGGCTGAAACAGAAGTAGTTAACTCACAGGTTCTAGATTTCAGTATTGCCAGCTCGATCTTGATTTCATATATAACCCATATCAGCAATACTGTAAAGCTACCACATGAAAAGGTATAGTGAGCAAACTAGCTTTATAGTGCCCTGACATTCAAGGCACTCACATAGTAACTGGTAGAGAAAATCAAACAATTATCTCATTTACAAGTAACCGACACCAGACATTTATACATAAATGTACAGGTCGTATTAATCTTTATGAGGATGCGGAGCCTTAGCTTAATAATTTGCATCCACAATTTGTTCTCTAAATTTCACCTGAAGTAACTAGAAACTAATTCTTGTGATGTTTGACATACATGTAAATCCTTCACTGATTTAAGGTTTTAAAATGCCTTGATATAAATAAAGTGTAACATGAACTAGTCGACGTTGTCAGAAATATTTCAGAAAACACACACAAAAGATGCTAATTGATAATTTTGATAGGTCTTTTGATATCAAAGTTATTTTTATTAATTCAATCCACAAAGATAACAACATCAAAATTGCTCCCTTTGCTAAATCCATGACGACTTGATGCTGTTACAGTTCTAGTGACTCTCTAAACCAGTTAACACTACCTATAGCATTTAATAATGATTACAACCACCATAACATTCAAATCCGCCAGACAGCGTCTAGTTGATTTAATGGGCTATTTCCAATTTTGATTTCACTGCCAGTAATATAATATCAAATCTTAATTACGAAAGTTCACTGCCATCAGCTCTCATTAAATTGAGCAATAATTTGAAATAGTAAATGTTCATAACGTACAGTTATTGAGTTTTAACTGAGTTAATATTGAAAAATAACGTGACAGCTGACGGTATCCTAATCGTACATGTAATTACTATTTTCAATAAAATGCACTCGAATCTAGGCTGAAATAGAGGTAGTGAACTCAACTGGTCGAAGAAAACAAACGATTATTTCATTTACAAGTAGTTTTCTCATTTATATGTAGGTTTCCTACACAATTAACCGGCACCAGACATTTATCTATAAATACATATAGGCTGTATATATCGTTGTGAAGAAGGGGACAGGGTATTATACAGCCAGTAAAAACTGTATGCAAGTGTCCCCTAGCTTTATATATATTTTAAAAAGATTATTCTAAAAATAACCTGAACATTAAGCCACACCTAATTAATTTTAAGCTACAACTTATCATTTACTGAATATGAAATTGCAAATATAACTCATTTTGGCAAAGGCTCTCAAAGTAACATTCTTACTCGATCTAGTCAAATCCTGGTTTGATTCCAGTAATTTTTCATTTTTCTATTTGTGCAATACATACAGTATCTACAGTATCAAATATAAGCACAAATACAAAATCATTGATCTGTTATAGTCCCCCTTATAACAAATAATATAAGTACAACTTGAAGAAAAACATCATAACTGTTGTCAGTGCTGAACACCGCAAAGAGTCTTGTGCGCTTTTGCCATCACTCGTCGAATCTGTCGAACTCATAGCCGGAGTCATAGTGTAATCCGGCTCAGGGGTGCTGAAGTCATCAACAGCAATGCTGACGTCACCCTGAACAATCATGACGTCATCTTGTGAACTACTTGACTCAACGGGTGGACTAGTTGCATCTTGAGAGGCGTCGAGAGGCACCGTAGCCGGAACATTGTTACAGAATTCGTGACTAGCGCATGCGCATTTCTTCCCCATAACATCGGGCTGTAACCTCACCGAACCAAACATCTGGACATTGCTGAAGAATAGTTCACTAATGGTAGGTGATTGTCCTACTCCTTGGTAAATGGCCGTGTCTGGAGTCAACTGTGATTCACAGCCAGTAACACCATTGTCACAGCCCCGTTGTACATACGTCATGATGGCTGTTATTGTGTCATTCTGAAAAACAAATAAATATAGACCTTTCCGGATATGACGTCATAATAAGAAAACCACGTGGCCTGAAACACAATGCAAAAAAAAAAAAAAAATCTCCGCATCTGCATAACAGGTCACGTGGTTTCACTCTTTTACAACAAACAGATCACTTACTTCTTGCTTCAACTTACTGTATATGCTCACCGCTGTAGATCAATTGTTGTATATGTCGTATTTCTTAAAATGCAGCATATTGTCTCTTCTGTGAGCTGTGACACCACAGTTTCACACAGACACATACCACACCTTACTTAAGCTGGTACATGTAACATATAATATCGTAATATATCCCATTAGGGTTATTCTGTTCTTGTCATCATCATTTTCATCATCGTAAACTATGTTTTTATTCTTTTTCTTCTTCCTCTTTATTATTATTATTATTATTATTATTATTATTATTATTATTATTATTATTTTGAAGTCTGATATGGTACATTTTGTCAAAAATTCCTGGGACTTATAGTTGTGCCAAAGACTGGTAAAATTACAAGTGTTACACGTTTTATTACATGCCGGACTCAGGACTAGCAAATTACGTTTCCTTTTATAGTCTTTTTCCTCTGCGTTTAGTTTGAATCGGATTGCAATGGTAAAGTCTTGCCTTGGAAGAGCAGTTTTAATGATCACCGTTAATTTCTGTCCCAGGTAAAACAATTATATATCATAATTATATATCATTATACATTGTTATATATAATAATAATTATAATTTTCTCACCATCCCAGGGAATGTAGTCTCAGCTCTCAGCTCGAAGTCCACGGCGCCACAATGATCAGGTTCACATTCTCTGACGTGTGTTGCCGTGCCTTGGTAACAAGATGTGTCGTTTCCTCCTAAAAGTTTTGGTTAATAAATATCATATACCTGTATGTATTGTATTAAAACAATATAGTATTACAGTATTTCAATCGTGCAATGGGTACAAACTGAAATATCTGAAAGTAAAAGGGATCAAAATGTAGATGTTCGCAGGAAGCTGTAGTAGTTGAAAATTGACTGTATTCAAATACTGTGATGACATTTTGATCCAAGATTAACATGGATGAAAAATGAGCACAATGCTTTAATCCTCACAAAGTAATGTGTAGCTATGAAGAATCACGAGGACGGAGTACGCTTTGACAGTGATTGTTACAGATGTGAAATTTGCAGCATGGTTGATGTGTAAGGCAAATGTGTTAGGTGTGACGGGATAGTGGAATGTGTTAGATGTAACAGCACCTTCTGTGGTGTAATAAAAACGTATACCTATCACTGGAAGCATGCTGCTTAGATCCACGCCGTCAATTTCCGGGAATCCCTCGTAGCGTACCTTCAAGAAGATACAGGACGCGCATTTTATTGATTCACCTACAATGGGCAGAGACGAAATAAAAATAAATATGCAATTGTATCTGTCTGGCTGTTTCTCTATCTGTTAATAAATCTATTTCATTTATTTTTAAATCTCAAAGTAATTCAATAGCTCGACCAGGAAGAAACTTCAGGGGCAAAAGCTAAAAGGCTCTGCATTGCGGGCTAATCTGGCATAAAATCTTTCGGTCCAACTGAAGTCTGTAAGTCGTCTACTTAGTTCAACAACTTAAAGCAAACTGACAACAGGCAGCTAATATTACCACTATGTTTCCTGAAGTTAGTCGCTGTCGCTCAGCGTTTTGGATTGACAAAGGAATAAGAGAACATTACATTTACTGGCTCTGGTTAGTAAAGATAAATTATATGGCTATCATATTCTTCTATTGAACTGGGTAGGGCAGACTGAACTAATCTGTTAACACGTCTTCTATATGAATCAGACGCACCGATGCAAATACAGAACAAACCATTATCATGGTCTTATCCCTGGAAATCGGGTGAACAGATAGTTTCCCGGTATGTCAGTTTATATAAAAATTAAGCAAACAATTACTGTTTGCTCAACCTGTGTGTTAAAAAGAGATCGAGAGAGCTGATATCATTACGAGAAGTCGTTAGAGCCAACGAAATACCATCTGGGCCCATTCAGAATAGTGGACTAACTAGTCCGAGTGTCAAATAAGGCGACCCACTACAAAGCTTGCAGTCTAATTCGCTAATAAATACTGAATAGATATGCCTATCCTGTGAGGAAGTATTAAATTATGACGGCCATATTTGACCCTCAGACTAGTTAGTCCCCTATTCTGAATGGGGCCATTCAGACCACTCCTGCTGTGCTGTACCAAGATCCAGGAATTATAGATAAGACATAGTTACACCGATTGCAATGCACCTGTAGTGCGTTACTACCTTTAAATGGGAACGAACGGAGAGTGGGATATCACCGTTTCCTGTAAGAACGTGTGAACACAACAATCGTTAACGGCAGAGCGCACTTATATTAC